TGCGGCTGGTTTCTCGATCACGCTAACAGGGAATCCCTCTGCTCGTAGAGATCGCGCCAACTCGCTTGACGAGGGCAGCGACAGATAGAAGCTCTCGGTCAGCTTCCGGATCCAATTCGTTTCTCTGAAGCCATCTCGGGCCCTGCCCGTGTCAAGGCAAAGTGCGGTAAGCCCTGCACTTCCTTTGCACGCTGACCTCGGGTCTCATCTTTTCTGGTAAGCTTCCATGGCATGGAATGTTTGGTGAACTCTGAGCTCTTTGTTCGCTCAAACACATCTAGGCCACTTCGAAGTGCTCTGGGCTTCATCTGAGCGGCCGAGTCATTTTTCGCCCTCTCACATCTTCCGTTTTGAGTGTGAGTTTTACCAAAGAAGAGCCGTCGAAGAGGGTTCCCGTGAGTCATCCCCGCATCAAACATCCACCAGGTTCTTCATCGCATCCGTGCGTTCCATCTAGACCTCATTCTGCTGGCCACGGGTCTCTGAGCCCGAACATCGCTCGCTCCAGGCTAGCCGAGTGTTCTCTTCATGCAGACCGGTCTGGGTGCAGAGAAGACAGCCAGCAAAGGCTGCCTGCCTCCCATTCGTTGTTCACGCATATTCTCTTCGCGATCCAAGACACGTTTTGACATCGTACAATACCGTGAGTCCCTGTCCGTGGCCCTTATCGCGCTCGATGTTTGATGAATCATCTTAAATATAGTCATGTTTGTATTCAGCCATGTAAAAATGTACACTAGAATAGTGTAATAAATCGAGGATAGGAGTAGATCACCCACGTCCTCGTACGTGAACGCAACCACTCCTCTCCGCGTTGACGGTCGCACACCTGATCAGACGCGATGCGACGGGAGCGTTAGAAGAACGGCCTCGACGTGCAGATTCTCGAGTGAGAACCGCTTGAAACGTTCCCGCGACCTCGTTCTCAGCGGTCGCGCCAGCTGCAGCCATGTGCTTCGTGCACGGAGATACGCGTGGGGAGCGGCAGACCAGCGCGGTCAGATGGCACCCTCCTGAGGCTAGACGTGCACCGGATCCTGCGTCCGTCGTGCCCGCGCCAGCCTCTGCCCAGTCGTCTTCTCCTCGGTTCGGTCGGGCTGGCTCCCCACAGTCTGGTGTTGGCATCGACTGCTTGAGGAGCAGATGTTCGAGCTCATTGTGCACGTATGTTGCAGGGAGGTGAATCGAAGCCGACACATGGTGGTGGAGGATGGCATCAGCCTATTGCATGCCGTTGCGGTGGGTGAGCGGGCGTGCCAAGTAACCTTGTATCCTGTGTCATCCAGGTCAATGGCGAGCCATTAACAGAATACTCACTGGCGGCCGTCTCAGAGATCGGGTACTGTAAGTGACAGCCTGTTCGCTAGAATCATGTCAAGCTGCATCCCGCGTCAGCGAGCACCGAAGTCATCGTTCCATTCGCTGCAGGCTTCTGCGCAACAGGCTTTGGTGGAACAGGAAGCGGGCTATTGCGGAGCGTATCAGACACGCGCTGCGCGTGTTAAGTGTGTTCCAGATGAACCACCCCGCAAAGCGCCGTCCAACAGTCGACTCTGCGATATGCACCATGTTCTAACAACGCTGTCAGGAATGCACCGATCACAGGCATGAGAATGCATCCATACCTCGTCGATCACGAAATCCAAGGCCATCCAGCAGGCCCTTGTCGTTCTCGAGACGGCTTATGCTCCGACTCGCCTGGTTCATAACCATCATCTGCTGTACCATCTCCTCCTCATCCGCGTCGAGGAAGTTGGCGAGTTTCTTCGCGTCCAACGACGTGAACAGCCAGGAAGCTGCGCAGAGTCGGCACCGGGGCCTGTGCGCGTACCTCGGAAAGGAAGAGCGCGGGCTCTACTGGGGGATCCTCGACGTAGGCCGCGAGCAGTTCGGGGTCCTCGTATGGTGGTGGGTTCGCTGAGATGAACTTGGGGCATGCATAGAGGAACAGCTCCTCGAAGGGCGAAATGCCTTCCTCGCTACGAAACGGACACTTTGTTAGTAAAC